CTTGTGGATCTAAAAATTCAGTTTTAATAATATTACATCTGATGATATCGATTGCAAAATTCATTATACCTACTTTTAACAATTATATAGCGATTTCCCACAATATCTTGAATGCAGGAATTAAAAGAGTTCATAGTTGATTGCCAGTCTATAATGAAATAGACGATTAGTTAAAACATCTAATACAAGTAATTCAAAAGATACAATGAACCCACCTTCTTTAATATCGGTCACATTTTGAATATTGTCGATGAATTCTTCTATGAGAGTAAAAATATTTTGACTAAAAGAATATTATTAAAAATTCAGTAACATAAATGATACAAGTGATTAAATTATAAGACAACGGATGCTTACTCTTTCGAATGTTTTGAAGCAACCTTTATCAATTTTTTTAAAATTTCAATGATACGCAGAAAAAGTCCTTCGTTATATTCCACTTGTCTTAATAGATCAAGTATCCTTGTGCGAGGATCACTATTTATTATTAGTTAGTTAACATAACAAAAATCAATTAAATGGAAGAGTAAACGATTTCTATTTTCTAAGAGAGATCTAAACCTTGTATCCTTTATAATGTCTTGTACTTTCTCACTAAGTTCATCCAAATCTTCTTGATATTCTTCTTCATAAACTTTAATTTGAGTCATTAACCAATCTGGAGGATTTGAAGTTTTAATTGTCTATATGAGGAAGGTAAATAATCGTCATTATTAATATTATTAATCATTACAGAAATGTTTACACATACGGCAAAAACTTCTTCGATTCCTCTTCGCTCAAACTCTTCTCTTAATAATACACGCTGATCTACTTCTTCTGGAGAATTTACAATCGCATTCACTAAACTCAAACAAGCAGCCTTATATTCAATTGAGCTACTGTCTTCTGTATCATTTCCTTTTAATGTGGCAATTAAATATTCGAATCGATATTTTTCCTTTTCTTCATATATTATACGAAAATCTGATAATGCACCGAGAACGTGTTTATGTCCTTCCAAAGATAAAACACATAAAGCTGCCAAAATATCAGCAACTTGTGCCCGAAGTCTATTGTTACGAGTATTTAGACAGAAAACAATATTGGATATAAGCGAGGTGGATTCCAAGACTTTGCCAAAACCAGGCTAACGAAAATAAGTGAATAAATTAAGATATCATCAATATTGTTAGAATGATTAAAAAATGGTAAGAGGCACTATAGGTTCACATACCTCGGTATTCATTAAAACACGCAAACAACGAATACACTCTAATTGAATCAGATCGTCGTGATCAGAATGTTTTGCACTTTGAAATTAGTATGATAAATATAACTATTAGAAAATATGTATGAGAAATAAAAAAAAATCAAAAATTATTTATTTGTACAAACTTTTTCCTCGCATTGATAGTGATTTTCTCTAGAGCAGTTTCTAGTGCTGTTAGACCTTTATGTTCAAGAAATACTTTAATCCATGATAATTTGGCAGTAGACAAAGTGACACGTAGTTTTAAGAGATGATCTGACAAAGATTTTGGGGATATGTTCCTATGAAATGTATATATGAGACATGAAAAGATGAACTTTTTCGAGCTGCAAAACGTTTACTTCATACTTTTGGGTTAATTTTTCCACGTAAAATTCAGGATCATCTTGGGATTTCTGAGGAGATGCGTGATATCCGAACCAATTAAGGATACCTGCATATCCAGATGTCGGCGATTGAATTGTTTCTTCCGTCGTCACGGAAGATGAAGATGTCGCTGAAATTTCTAGGCTCGTCCATGAAGTTAAAGAAAATCTTTTACTGGGTTTAGGTTCCGGATCAGGTTTAATATCGACAATATTTTGAGATATCATATTTCTCGAATCTGTAATTCCCGAATCATCTAAATCATTATATTCGTTGACAAGTTTTTGCTCACTTTGACTATTTGTTTTGAAAGCTTGATTTTGTTTATTCTGTAATAATATCATCCTTTTATTATCATCTGGCAATTCCATCATTTCCTTACGTTTAGCAATCGGAATTCCTAGATCATCCTAAAGAAATATTTTGTTAAAATGTGCTTAATGATAAGTCATTGATAAAAATTTAGATTTACCATAAATTTTTTAAAGGCACTTTCTAAATCTTGACCTTCACCATCCTTAGCAAAATTTGAAATGTCATTTCCTCGTTTACGGCCGATTGTATTTATTCCTCTTCTTACACTACTATAATCAACGACAGTAGCTGTTTTCCGAGTCTTTCTGCGGGGAGGATCAAAGTTTCCAACAGCGCTTAACCAGCTTCCCAAAACATTAGGATCTATAATAGCACTGATACGAGAAGCGACAAGAGAAGCGCGGTGGTTGACCTCTCTTGAAGGATCACGCTTGTGTGCAATTTGATCTGAAGGTATGTGTTCTTCTTCAGCCGAGGGTAAGCTGTTGACAGGCTCATTTTCAGAAGGATGGCTTTCTAGATCTAAAGAATTGGAAGTGTCTTCCATAGCAAGTATTGTTTTGTCGAGTTATTTATACTCACACACCCGCTAATTTAAAAAAATGAAGGCAAATAAAGTCCATATATAAATAAATTACGAGTTTGTCAAAAAAATGCATTAGCAATCACACACTCTTCAAAGAAAATTAATTCCACTGAAGAGTTTTATAATGAAAAGGAGGGAAAACGGTAGTATAAATTATAATATAGTAATAAATTTTGACGTAATTGTAGACATGATGAAAAGTCTTGCAAATTTGTGTAAGGGGATGGAAAAAACAATTGCTTTAGTGTTAGATCATGTCTTTTGAATATGACAATCCGTTACTGCGTTCGATTTTGAGAAGAAAACATAATTTATTACACAGTAGGGAGAAAAGAAATAATTTAAAATACATGTTGAATATATTATATTATAATAAATACATAAATGAATGAATTTATCCCCTTTCTTCTGCAGATCATAAAGAGGTCTCGTTAGTGTTTATATTACTACTACTACTACTACTACTACTACTACTACTACTACCTTGACCAACAATGCTTACAGTAGTGTCTTTTGACGTTTCCCCTGTAATTTCTTGGATTTTCGCCCTTGATCTGTCAACAAATTCTTTAACTGCTTTGGCGATCACAACCAATGGAAACAGATATATAGTGTAAATAAGGGACATGACTACCGAAAATAATATAGTTACATCATCAGAAACTATAAAATTGAGAAATAAAGTTTGTTATTCAAAAATTACGAGATTCCACTACTTAAAATATAGATAATTCCACTTACCCCTATCATAAATTATACGCGGGAGAGAATTTATTGGCAATAATCGTGGATTATATAAAATCGAATTACTAGGCTGTGAAATGAAATATTATTAATAAGGTACCTTTTAATAATACAAAATTAGCATATATTATTTCATTACCTGTTCTATCTTTTTCGATTCTCTATAATCATAAAAATTTAATGTAAAATCAATATGATGAATTATGGAAATAATAATTCTAAAAAAGTTAGATCTCTTATACTTACGATCCAGTTTTAACTAGTTCCCCTCTGAGACCTGCAATTTCAGCCTCCTGTGAAGCAATTTTTACAGATAAATCTTGCACCAATTCTTCAACTTTTTCAAGATATTCCAATTGTTGTTTCTGAGCATTAGCCACAAATTCAAGTGAATGTAACTTTTGAATAGTTTCTGATTGTTCCAAAATTTTTGCTTCAAGATCTGCATTACGAGTTAAAAGATTTGCATTGGATGATTTCAGGTCAATAAGCTAAATAAAGAGAAAAAACAGATTAATTAAGAAATTTCTTTTGTGATGCCTGATGATAAAAGAAGAGATATGACACAATACTTTTCCTCGAACTTTGGGGTCTGAAGAAAGTGCCGAGATTTCATCATCACTATTCACTTTCCCGATCTGCTTTTCTCCTTTTTCTGTATCCTCACTTCCTTCCTCATTATCATTGTCATCGTCTTCATCAGAAAAATTTTCCATTTCTGGATTTATCTGAGCAGATGCGGCCACTTTTCTTCGAGGTCGTACAAGATCATTCACATCAATCATTGCATCCACTGAAACTTTAGGTTTGTGTTTTGTTTCATTATAATAATGATAATTATTAGATTCTTGTAATTCAAAAGGCATTGGCACACGAGCACTAGCTTTGACAGTTGGACGTCTACCAGCCAACCCTGGTTCACTTCGAAATGACACTTCAGTTTTAGCTCCTGGGCCACGATAAATAACGTCCGACCAAGCTCGAGAACTGCTGCCAGGCAAAGGTGACTCGGAATGTAATGAATTTTTTTTATTTACATTCGAATATGAAGAAAAAGAAGACGACAATAAAGATTTTTGTCGTGTCTGATAATTTGAGGTATTCGAGGTATTACTATCATTATAACAATTTTCTGATTGATAATGAGAGTGCGAATTGTTATTAAATTCGACAGCTGATCTTGTAGCTCGCGGTTTAATTATATTTTGATTTACATCCCTACGGTAATTTATTTCTGAACGTATTTCAGGCGGGCGTCGAACAGATGAAGTATTTTCTTCTAATATATTAGATCGTACATTTGGTCTTCTATAATTGAACTGTCCAGATTCGTTACCCCATGAAGTATCAGCATTTTCGTCAAATGAAACTCGCCTTGAATCAACATGTGGAGAATAGTAATTATTGTTAATGCAATAATTGTTATTGTTGTTATTATTCTTGTAATTTAATGGTTCTTCCAAAATAGATGATGCACCAACTTTCAGACGTCGGGCAGAATTATTTGATCCAGAATCACTATTACGTGATAACTCTGTACGTACTTCCTCGGCAGGTTGCTGTCGGTTATAATTCTGTCGAGTATCGTTGTGATCTGACAGAATCATATTTGAATTAGCTTTAGCCTTAGCCTTGATTGGCTTCTGCTCCTGAATATTATTTTCATCCTCCTCTTCCTCATCATCATCCTCATCGTCGTCGTCATCGTCGTCGTCATCATCATCATCGTCATTGTCGTCGTCAATGTCATCATCATTTCGGTTTAATTCACGTTTAGCGGCAGCATCATGACGCTCAACTCTTGTGGTCGAAGAGTCTGAAGATTCCGTTCCTTCAGATTCTTCTATACTATCGGAAGTTCCACTACTCTCTTCATCGTCATCTTCTTTTTCGTCGATATTATTAGAGCTATTAAAAAATTTCATGCTGCGAAAACTATCAGTTAATGTTCCTGAGATGGAACGTGAATTATCGTGTTGCTTGCCTAATTCATCAAGAATAGAACCTTTTACTTTATGCCTGAGATTTCCAGAATTCTTGGATTTTTTATCAAGATCCATGGTACAAATGGTCAATTAATAGTTTATAAATGTGAGATTGACGCTTTTATTAAGTTGAATTGGTTGGTTAATGGGTTGGTTAATTTGGAGGTTATTATTTAACGGATTATAATAAGTAAACAAATTGCGGGATGGATATTAAATGAAAGCAAGAGAAAGAAAAATTAAGTGTTTATGGTGGTGATTTGAAGATTTACGATATATAATAATCTCCAAAGCACAACTTATAATTTTCTTTGAAGCACAATTTTATATATTTTAGCTTGTGTTATTTGGTGAAACACATATGGGCGGACTTGATTCCACAACTAAATTAACTCTAGCCAAAAATTACCAAAATTAGGTATCTTTTTAGGAGCCAAATCAGCCAAGTGATGAGGATGGGCGAATTTGATTCTTAAATCGTTTTGGGGAGTCAAATTCAGCCCATATCGATATGATTGAATGTTTTTTTCTTTTTTTTCAATTATTTAACAGAAAACTTAAGGTGGTTCGTTTATATAGATTCTTAATTTCCACTTTTTTTCTTCCAACACT